CACTCCTGACGTCATCACGCTTCCGGCTTCCGGGAATTCAGCACAGTGGATCATTCATCTGACAAAGGTTGTCAGGAATGACTGAAAATGCATGGTAAGTTCCTGTCTTGTGTTGGAATAAAGTTTAAACTCTACAACTATACAGTCACCTAACTGATCAATGTTACTGAGCCATATTTTCTCAAGACACTAAACGCTTCTTTAAGTACAAACTTGTACATTCTGATCTCTACTTTCCATAATTCTTCATAATCGTCGTCTACAGCAATTAGAGACAGTCGTCTGGACCTTAATTGATCTGGAGACATGCAATATACAAGAGATTCCTAAGATAGCATCCTGGCTGGTAGAATGTGGCATCTTCGCTAATATTATATCACAGACGTGATCAATCTAATTATAATCAAATCAAGTGGTGGGTTTTACTAAAAGTCACAGGACTGTATATGTATATCCCCTCTACATCTGTCAGATATCCTAAAATACCAGCACCAGACACCGAAGATAGAGGTTATGACCTTACCATGGTTATGGCATTAACTTGGCATTACACTTTGAAAGGCTACAACCCGCTGATAGAGTACCATGTATATCGATCTCGTTTACATTATCGTATACCTGTGCGTATACATGTACAGTGCCATGGTTATCATGTTAACCTAAGGAAAGCATATTGTTTTACTTCCAAACAAAGTCAATGACCTGAACCAGACGTCTGTTTCCATGGTAACTAGTGTTGGGTTACATCATGTTGCAATTTTATAGCAGGAGGGATTTAGACTCCTGTCTGACCATATATATGAATGTGTTTGAGTAAGAATTAACAGAGCAGACCATATGCGAAGGTTAACATTATGCATTTGCTTTTGCGAATGTTACATTTCTAGTTATTTATAGTTTAGTATAAGTAGAAGACAAGGTACATTTTAATTAGATATTTGAATAGAGAGAAATTCATTTTCCTTACAGTCTTTCATAAACCAACTCTAACTAATCATACAGCCACTTACATTTATAGAATTACCAAGAAGCTAGAGGAGGTCAAAAGAACTTGCTAACTAACTTGCTGATTAATAAGTTATCAAACATTTCATGTCTGTAGTTGTGGTACAGGACTGACCTGTGTTATCCCGCCATGCACCGGGGACTTCTGCAACATTTTCATTGGTGGACCGCCTCCATCCGGGACCTGCGAACCTGCACGGAGTAAGTACAACCGTTTCATGGGACTCAAACGTTTTCATAATATCAACAATTAACAGAAAACCTTTTCTTGCTTAAAGCTGCATTATGTGACATTAGGATGATAGAAAAATAGATTTTCTGGTCATTTCTGTAAAAAGTTGAATCAACCCTATTCCGTTGAACATAGGAGTCATTTAGGAAGATGAGATATCAAAATATGACTCTTACGAGTGTGTTTTGGGATTTTGGCATCTCCACTTCTTTCTCTTTAAAAAGATGGAAACGCAGCTATCGACCATATTTGTTTACATTCTGGTAGTTTTAGGTGGCACCACAAATTGAGTACGCCACGTGTGGGCGCCAACTATAAATGTCAGACATGTTAGATAACTGAACAAATATGTTGCAAGTAAATTACAATCACACGAAGACTCTTTCAAAGAATTTATTTCACAATTCGGTTTTAAAAATTTGGTGTCGTTTCTTTAATTGTTTGCTTCATTCCTACCCCACCATTGTCCCACGCACAAAAACTGTGTGTCTGCTCATCTCCTAATAAGGAGTTACAGCGGATGTCGTCTTAAGTGCGCCTACGTCACATCTGCGTCACTATCTAGTCACGATGACGAGGCTGTGTCTAGAAAGGCCGGATATGAGTCAGCCACACTGTACTGTTGGAACATTTGGTATAAGTTGAAAAGAATCTTGAATGAATTATTGTATGGGGATGTAAAAGTCTTAGTTGTTTGTAGTTTGTTTTGGGTCTGTATTAAACTATTCAAGTATGAACTTTTAAAAATGATGACGAAAACGTGCTAAGAAATGGCAGTAAATGTCAATATCAGACAGATTTCCCCATCCAGATATTTTTGTTTGTTTTGCCACCCTGAAATTGCTTTAATATCTACAGTAGCCTGGATCCCAGCCTTGCTAAGGCTAACAAGACTGGGCTCCAGGCTATGGTCAAGTTTGATTCTGTCAAAACTTCATCCCAAAGACCCACGACAACATTAAACTCGTACAGTTTAGCGGCGATCGCGAGCAAACGTGTTACAGTCTTAGATATTGAAAAAAAAAAGTTTCTTCGGCCATGACTTTTTTGTAGTTATGAAACCAATTCAAGTATCCAGACTGAGCTACCAAAATACATGTCCTCAAGGTAGCAGATGTGATCATAATCACGACAGATGCAATTCCTATGGCGGAAAGTGGACACTTGGAGTGATGGATCAAAGAAAAGTCAGCCTTTAAACCAAAATACATGTCCTCAAGGTGGCAGATGTTCTCATAATCACTACAGATGCAATTCTTATGGCGGAAAGTGGACACTTCGAGTGGTGGATCAAAGAAAAGGCGAAAAGGCAGCCTTTAAATTGACTTCCTGGCCTTTCCTTGATCTTGCACTCTCGTGTTCGTTTCCACTCAACCACCCACCACAAGCAATCACATAACCATGCCTTATATGGGCATACAGACAGAGGGATGTCGGCGTATTTCTCAGAACACTTGTTTGTGTAACGGCGCTGTGCGTACCAAAATAATTACTCTAACAACCATATGATGATTAAACATGATAACTTTAACTAGTAAGTGGTTTGGGACTCCGCTGAAGTTACCATTGCTAATGAGACAATTGGTCGTTTTTAATGGCAATTAGGCCTTCTTGGTCGCATCTAAAGTCCACGTGCACGTTCTTAATTGATACACACTTTACATGGCGATTAGTAAGGTTCCGGCGAAAAGATGGAAAACAACCTACGACACGTGGACATAGGACACGTGTAGTGCAAGATCTATCTGCCAAGGGGTTCCGGGTTCGAATCCTTCCCGATGACACCGATCTTGGGCCCTTGGGAAGGACACTTAACACGACTTTCCTCACTTCACTCAGGTGTACGTGTAAATGAGTACCTAGCTTTGGTTAGGGACGTCCGTCGGATGGGCGTTAAATGGAGGCCCCGTGTTTGGGGAGAGCACGTTAAAGAACCCAACACACTTATCGAAAATAGTATGGGACCTTCCCGGTGTGAGTGGTTCAAACCTTACAGCCTGGTCTCAGGTTTGACATCCTGAAGAGGTGATAGTCACCTGTTATGTAAATCCTTCCACAAATGTGGTAAATCTTCAAAAATAAACAGATAAAAGAATTCAGCCATGTTCCCAGCAGCCACTATGTACAATTGCCAATTGGAAGCTAACAAGGCTGGATTCCAGCCTCCTCCAAAACCCTGGATTCCAGCCTCCTCCAAAACCCTGGATTCCAGCCTCCTCCAAAACCCTGGACT